GATTGCTTTCTGTTTCATGTCTGCCCATCAATAAATGACTTTATAATCATACCCGCAAGACTTGTCTTTTAAACACCCTTTTTGCCGTGTTTCTGACTATCTTTGCCGCGACAACCACAAAATGTTTTCATGCAAAAATGGCTAATCAGATATTCATTACACTTATATATATCTTATATAAATATTCACGTGATTTTGTCATGTGAACAGGGGTAAATTGAATAAATTTATTAGTCATGTTAGATACTGATTTTGAAAGCACTAAACCATTTTCTTAGGTTTCCTTTTTAAGTATTGACTTTTATAATCCATTGTTTAACTATTGTTATGTCTTGATTAAAATAGTTTAGATACATGCCTGAAACATTATCACAACACATAAAAAACTGTTAATCAAACGTAAGAACGGGTTTTTTGTCTGAGTGCCTGCGATTCGGCCGTAGGCCAGTAGTGGGCGTACCAGGCACTGAAGAATGTGTATATACTGTATATGCTGGAACTTCCGGCTTCTTGTCAGCGTTGGTTTCCTGCTTGCATTGACAGCATTAAACCACCGTTCATATCCAGTCTTTGGTGATGTATGGTCCTCATTCCTTTCACATTTCAATTCATTCAACATTTATGTGTTTTATTTAGTATTTATTTATTTTTTAAGTGAGAAGTTAAGAAAGAAAATAAGAAAAGGGAAAAGAGCTGGAACTACAAATGTATGAAATATACTCAATAAGACCACACGACACCCCCCCAACATCCACACCATCCACACCCACCAATAACCGCACAAATATATATACATAATGACATACTAATATTTTCACCCACATCTACATACATGCCTGTATGTGTTATACATACAAATGCATCCCCACACCCCCTTATGTGTTGTGAGCATGCATACCTATCCAAGGTTTCTCCAATAGAAWATTTAATAGTGACTGTGAAGAGCCCAAGACCCAGCCCCCAAGACCCGAGGCAGACAAAGAGGGGAGCCAGAGCCCGAGATACTAAGAGTGACCCCGAGCACAGAGCCCCCAGAGCCACAAAATATCCATGGCAAAAACTTGTGACCCCAAATATTACTGGTCTGAGTACATGAACTTCGTTAATAACCCTAAAAACACAGGCTTTTTGACAATCTAAACAGCTTATACACAAATATAAATACTTATTTTTTACTTATTTTGTGTTTTTGTAATAATTATAGGAAAATATTACATCAGCAATAATTTTATTACCCTTTAAATTGATTTCTGGAGATTATCCAAGGTGCTTCATGACCCATAATTGGGTCCCAAGCCCAACTTTGGGAACCAAAGCGCAGTGGTTCCCAAACTTTTCAGTTTTTGACCCACAAAATAACAGTAGCAGAGACCTGGGGCCCCAACTATTTTTGGATGATAAACATTTGTATCAGGTCAACTAAACATGGGCATAGTAACAATATTTTTATGCTACATTTATCCATTTTAAATATACTAACCTCACACCTTTGTAACAACTAAGGCAAAAATGTAATTCATTCAGAAAATCTTTTCAGGCCCCCACCTTGATGTTTCGAGACCCCACTTTGGGTCCCGACCCCAACTTTGGGAAACACTGATCTAAAGGGCCTTTAAGACACATCACTCCTGTTTTAGATTCTTGACACTGGCTCCCAGTTAGTTTTAGAATTGTTTTCACAATTTTATTGACTATCTACAAAAACCAAGCAGGTTTCTGAAGTTACTGTATATTACTGACATTTGAGTCTATCTGCAGCCTGACATCCTCAGCTTCAGCACTACAACTGACAATGCTACCCTCTCCGTTAGAGCCCCTGTTCTGTGGAATAACCTCCTTTTACAGATTAGACTGGTTGACTACTTAAATTTATTTTTTTAAACCCTTTTTAAAGATACATTTGCTCAAGAATGATTTCCCTAAACTTTGACATCTACTAGTTTTAATCTATACCTAGTTTAACAGCCTTCATTTTCATCCGTCAATCATCTATATCCGCTTCTTCCTTTCAGGGTCATTGATGCCCACACATCTAGCAGTCACTGAGGGGCGGAGTACACCCTGGACAGGTAGCAAGTCCATCACAGAGACATGTAGAGACAAATGAGACAGCCATTCATTCTCTCACTCACACCTAGGGACAATTTAGAGTTATCAATTATATGAATGGGTGAATGATGGAAGTGTGAAGTGCTTTGGAGTTTGTAGAGACCTTTGATCCTCCAGATTATGGAATGGTGGATTTTTTAATGTATTTTTTTTTACTAATTTAAAGAAATTGTCCTGACCTCCAGCCTGCTCCCAGGGCCACGCTGCTGTCTTTCTGCACTGAGACACTTGAGTCATTCAGGGTTAACTTCTCAATGGCGCTGCGAAGGGCGGGGTGATCTGATTGGTCCACTGGATACATACCTGTGGTGCAGAAAACAAAAAAAGAGCGCACATCGGCAGTACTCTTCAGTTAGGGCGCCATGCTAGCTTTGGAGACATAATGTGCACTAAAGAGACAGTAAGTTGTGAACTCACATAAAACTCATGCATTAAAGACTTATTTGTCCCACAGGTCTTAGTGGGTTCCTTTTAAAATATTTACATCAGTTATAAAATAAAGATGCAACTGAAGATGAGGTCAGTTCCTACCAGCAAACACCATGGGTTTGGCAGGTTTGAACCCTGGAAGGGCTTCGACCGGATGCTCCTGGAGGTAGAGTGTGTCACCAATCTGGCCCTCTTTCACATCCTTCATCCCAGCTATTAAATATCCCACCTGACCAGCAAATCTGTGTAGAAAAACACAGACACTAAACAGTGTGGACAGCTGAGTTAATTGCAATAACTCTGTCTTTATTCATTAATGTGCCAAAGCCTACTTTGCATACTTTTAAAATAACCTGCAGTTTATTGAGGTGTTTTGATAGCTAGTTAATGCATTTTCCTTGGTACTTAAAGGGATCCCTGATTAGTTGAAACATTAGACTTTATTTGATAAACATTTTAACTGTAAAATGAAGACTGTAAAAATACTGTAGGCTGTTCAGTTTTGTAAATTTTTAAAAATATATTTTAACATGAATGGAGCCATTTTATTTACAAAAGCATTCTGAGTAAATGATGTGGATACGTCCTTGGTGTGAGCGAGCTATATCCACCCTGAAGGTTAATCTTGGACAATATCTGATGATCGACTCTTTTAAATGAAACCAGAGAGCGTTGACA